CTACTAAATGCATTGAAGTAGATCATGATGTATATATTAAGCTTCTCACATCCCACATACTTGCAGGTTCATCCATAAAACTAAGGACATGATTTTAGTGGTTGTTAACATACTGTGATCTTTTTTAGAACTAGTTCTACCCTTCTTGTCATGAGATTTTTACTCTTGTTGCTTATCTTCTTCCCTGTAAAAGATAAACAGAACATATGCTTTTACGTTTCACTATTTAATATTTTTCTTAAAGAGGTAAGATCGTGTTTGTCTTTCTTAACCTATGCAAAAACAATATCAAATTATTCTAACATTATGATAAATAACTGTTTGAGATACTCCAGAGGGACTCAGAGATTTTTCATTCTTAGAGGCATTGAAGAGCCTGGACACCTGGCCCTAGGTGAGCCTGCTTGAGCAGCAGGTTTGAACAGCTGACTTCCAGTCATCACTTCCAACCTCAGCCATTCTGTGATTCTGTAATTCATTATGGTTTCAAGCAATATTTCCTACTAGACTGCACATTGTTTCCTTATTTACTGATTATTTATTAATTAAACCCCTTTGAAATTAAGAAATGAAAGAATACTGTTTTCCTGTTTGTTATAGCTAGATACCACTGTTTCTGGGATTCCCTCCAACTAACTGATTTGGATACATTATCAAATACTTTTGGTTAATGTTAACTTACTACCATTTTCTGACCTTAAAATGTCTGTTTTGTAGTATACACCTGGCCTGAATAAGGATTCAAATGTTACTAACAAAACGTTGGTTATCTTCATTAAAAGGTTACATGTAATTATGAAAAAGTACCTATCTCACAGAAGACATTGCGTCATCAAATGCTGTTACTTACCATCTGTAAATTGAAATCTTCAATATGCATACATTTTCAATATGCACTTTAATCCTTAAATGTTTGCATAAAAGATGCAAAGTTGTTCACGAAGTACACAGACTTCACATCTAATTGCACCAAGCTCTCACTAATTTAGCCCTCATTTTTTCCCCACTCAAAACACTCATAATTCACTGGTTTCCATCTCTTGTTATCTATTTTTGCATCCTCAGAAAATGGAGGGTGAAGACAGGCATATTCATTAGCAAGATCCTTAGCTATATGGGAGATTTTAACTCTCTTTGAAGGCCAGAAGTTGAAACACAAGAGCATACATGGAACTTTTATTCCTTATGATCAGCAGAGGAAGAAAGATGACAGCAGTAAAGGTAAGAGACCTTGCAATAAAAGAAAATTAGACATGCACAAGGGAAATGCAGTACATTCCTATATGTTGCTTCATAAACCAAAATCTTCCCTAAATCCAGTTCCAAATCGACTTCAATGACATACAGCTGACTGGAGAAGCAAACAAAACCCAGCTTTCAAAAGTGGGCAGAGCTCTGAAAAATGGTATACTTAAATCATGAAGTTCCATCACGCTTAGACCATAATTACAACAATAATCTTCTTCAGACTCTCAAAACATTTAAGATGCTTTTAACTCTGAGTGTGAAGTCACTGTTGGTTTCTCAGATCTACTACAGCACAGAATTACTCACATATTTTCTTGATGGGGCTTGGGAGAAGGGGTCCAAATATAAGCAAGTTCAGTTTTAATCACTAGGACTGAATATACAAGAGATCAGACATCTAAGTGCCTGAGTCTCACCTTCCAACACTTACAGGCAGTTCTAATTTTGTGTGAAGTGCACAAGTTGGTTTCAAAGCAGGTACCTAGACTGCGTAGTAAATGAAGCAACTACAGTTTAACTCACAGGCTGTGTTAGCTGCATAGCAGGCAACAAAGTCATGGAAACTCACTACAAGATCCAAAGCTTATCTTTAAAAATGTAAACAAATTCTGGGACGTGATGAAAAATTCATTTGACTTCAAACATCTCATTTTATATGTCACGCTTCCCTGTTAAAATACTGAAGAATGAAATAAGAGGGTGCAGTACAAAGCCACTGATAGTGCGTTGTGATCATTTGCATACTCAGCTATCTGTTGAGCACAGTGTCTGTCCCATACTGCTTCCAAACAAGATTAGCATCAAATGCAGCATTAGACTCATAACATGCTTGTAGAATCAAAAGCACTGACTAGCCTGCCCAAAACAAGCATCAACACTGGAGAAGGTAGATATGGGACCTTGTGATGGCTTTCATAAAATTCACCACATGGGACGTTTGTTTGGGGACAGCATAGAATAAGTTTCATGTGTCTTATACTTCCAAAATCCTAGACATGCCTGTTCATTGAAACCCCCTAAGAAATTTCAATGTGCAATCTGTATTCTGTATTTGGGAGAACAATAACAACATATTTATTTTCAAAATTGTATATCTTCTATTTTTACATCTTCTATTTCACATTTTTCATTTTGATTTTTTATGATGCTGACATGAAAGAAATCACAGAAAAGAAATTTTATTTCCTGAAATGAACTTAAAATCAGCAATACAAAACCTAGAAACAAGGACATACAGCTTAGAATTAATCTGATGCAAGTGTTTAAATGATACAAGTAAAAAGGTTAAAGCACAGAGTAATTAACAACTAACAAAGAACAAAAGAAGTCACAAGAAAAGATACTATAAATACACTAAGAAGGACGAAGTAAAATGCAGAACTACTACATCAAAGAGAAGGAAAGCAAATAAGAGACGATACAAGGAATTCCCAGTGTTCAATACTTTCACTGCTTCAGTGTAACAAAAAATTAATTGTGGCCAGATGCTTAACACTAGTGATTTTAAGAGGAAAATCTGCAAGCCAGACTAGTGAAAGCTGAAAGATATTCTGATGACTTAGATACATTCAGGTTGGCAGAATCTTGTGAAATTCACTCTAGAGCACTTAACTAGCTGAAGAAGCCTCTTATCCATTAGCAACAGTCTTTCAGGAATAGAGAGGACAGGAAAGGGTAAATACCATATCTTTCTCGAAAAAAGAAAAAAGGAAGATGTGGGAAAGCCTAAATCAGACTAAAACAGCAAAAATCTTAGAGAAAACTGTTAAATAAACAATGTATCAACATCTAATGGAATAGAAAGGCAATAAGAACAAGCCAACATGAATTTATCAAGAATGAAATGCATCACATCAGTCTAATTGCACTCTCAACTAGGAAACTTGCCTAGTGGATAAGAGGAGGAAGCAGATGCAAAATACTTCAGCTATGTGACTTTGTTTACTGTCCTGAACAATACTCTAGTAAAAAAAACCCTAGAAAACTACATTCTAGGTGAAATCACTGCAAAGCAGATAAACATCTGGTGGGAAAAAATGCACTTACTGAGTAGCTTTCAAGAGCTGGTTGTCAGATTTGAAATGGGATCATGAAGAGGTCTGACAATATTTCCATTCATGATCTGGATGAAGAAATAGAGAGCACATTCATAAAAGTGAACTTATTACCAGGCTGCAAGTGATTTAAAGCACTCTAGGGGCTGGGATTCAAATTCTGTACTATCTTGATAAACCCTCAGAAAACATCAAGTACTAACAAAACACAGTGAAGAATATTTCATTTGTGAAATAACACTGTGAAAATTGGACTGTAACAATGCTGACCAGGTACATTGACCTGGTTCAAGTGTAAGACCCAAAAGAGCTGAAGTGTTTTCCACTCCAGTCAGAAAACTCTGTTGCAAAGAGAGGTCCAGAATGCTGCAAACTGTATTTTAGGGATAAGGAAGCTAGAGATCAGTGGAATCTACACAATATTCAGTAGGAAAGACAAAGACTGAAGAGCTGATTTAGCCATTAATTACTGAACTCTCATATCTGATTGGTTTGTATCTCCTGACAGTGAATAAATAATCCTTTCTGAAACTGAAAATAATTGTTTCTGTATCTGCGTTAAGCTTGGTTACAAGTCTCTAAAGAAAAAAGGCTTGAAAAGCACACTCACACCCATCACAGTAACACAGTCAGGCAATAGTGAGGCTACAAATCAAAGATCCTGACTGGAATTGGTTTTGCTCCTCGCAAGCAGATAGACTGATTTACTAGAAGTGTATTTGAAAAAAGCCCTATAACTATACTACTACAATTAATATAAATATGAAACTTTCTCAGAATATAATTTTTGTGATCGACCTAAAACATTTGGGAGAGAGGGAATTTGGGCAAACCAGTTTGGGTATTTGGCACAATTTTGAAAAATGCTGGCTCTCAAAATTCTCCTCAAAACAGATCTTCCGTTTTTCATTCAGCTCTGTCTCTGATCTCACCATCTGCAAATTCTCCAGTGAATGAAGAATTGCCATGGATAAAATCTAATGAGACGAAAAAAAAATATTTCTCATTCAAGTATCTCCCAAATCACACCATTCCTAGTTTTTATGCACCACGGCAAGGAGTACTTTTCATACTTTAATAACTGTATTTGCTCCCCCAAATATTTGCTCCCCCAAATGTACTTCAGAATTCTCTTCTACAGTAAAGAGAGAAAAAAAAAGTGTGTAAGGGATAATATGTGGCTTTTATTATGAAATAATTGGATTTCATGTTTCTGAGTATTTATTTGAGATGCTTTAAAATATTTTAATTGCTTTGAAAACTGGAAGAAACTGACTGGAGTCAAGGATGAAAGATAGTTAATTGTTTTTCAATGATAAGTCTGAACTCCATCAAAGAGGTCAAAGTTTTACAAATGTTAATCTAATATAACTGCTACCACCCAAAGAAGCAGTCTCCCCGCTGCATGTTCCCACCATTTTCATTAAACCAGCCTCTTCTGTTGATCTCTTTATGAGCTAATTCAGCTCACCTAACCAGCAGAAAACTAAAATAAGGGAGTGCAGGGGAAGTACTTTCAGTTTCCAGGAGGGCTACTGAATTATCTCAGACATTCTGTAAACCTTATCAACAGGAATGTAACTGCTGATGTCAATGAACTTGGTCTTCACTGAATAGAAGACACTTTTCTGGTATATACTTCCAAATCACAATTCAGGCTGCATGGTTACATCAAAAAACTAAAATCAATGAACTTACTGCGAGACAGATTCTCAAGGGCTTTTCCAAGTTTTTTGCTCTCTTGAAGAATATGATTTAGTTCATCAAAATCATGGTTCTCCGGTTTTGTCTTCCAATCCCATTTAGGATGCTCTATTGACCTTGGCACTAAATATACACAGATATATAGATGTTTAGATTTGGTAGTTCAGACTCCTACAGCAGAAAAAAAGCTGCACAATGAGTTTACAAACTCAAGTACCTTGAGTGGAAATTAATTATCTTCTATTTTAACAGTTGGAAATATTTTCTTTGGTCAATGTAAAGTGAAAATGAAAACATCTATGAACAAATGCATTCTTGGGATGATTCTTGGCATTGAATTAATTGGTAAACAGGAATAATTAATAAGAATAACAAAAATAATAAAATTAATGCAATAAAAATGTATTTAAACTACTGCATGTGAATGTACTTCATGTACAATAAAATAGAACTGTGTGGTCTAGGGGTCAATAAGGAAGAATGTCAAAACAAAAATGAGTTATTGGTACTTTTGGCTTTGCTAGGTATTTTGACAGTAAGAAAAAAAAGAAATAGTTTAGATTCAGCTTTTAAAACAACATACTTTTTTTTTTCCCAAAAATCATGAAGTGTAGATAACACAGTTAATTAAAAACAGTGAAACAAAATATGTCCTTATCATTCATGCTGTACAGACTGTAATCTTTATTTCTCTACTTAAACAAACTCAATCCTTGGGAAGCACAGTCCTGAGCTTACAGTCAGCTGCTCATTATCTATTACCAAGGCCTTTGATTTAATTTTTGAAATAACAGTTTCTCAACTGTTGAGCTAACTTTACCTAAAACAAAGAGAAGGATTGTCTGAGATATGTAGGATGCACAATGAACAGAGTTGCATTGAACACTGCGTACATTTTGAACAATTTGTAGAAATAAAAACAAAAACTACGCTGTTTCTGGAACTGCAGTTTAACATGTTCTTTTTGCCAGTGTTCAGAAGTAAGCAATCTGCTGCCTTTGCCACCAAATGCAACTGTTGGATGGTCTCCAAATATAGCATTCCCATGCTGAGAACTGCACATGCTGGTGTGAAGATGATGATGCCTAGTCCACCTTCCCACCAGAAAGGACCACTTGCATTTATCAGTAGTTGTTAACTACTCACTTAAAAATAACTTCAAAGAAAAGCCTATGATGTCCAATAAATCCTGGACAGCTTTGAAATTTTTGTTTACTATTTTGACAGCTGTCAACTAATTTATGCTTACAAACTTCATTTTCATTACATGCTAAGAAGGAAACTTACTAAGAAGGACTCCTACAGATTGTGCAAAAAAAAGGTGATATGATAATTTGGAATTTCAGAGTGCTTTTATGATGGTAGAGGGAAATTATGCTCAGACATCACTGCTAGCTATTACAAAATGTGTTAAAAAATTGCTAATGAAATTTGCCTTATTGCTGACTTTCCTCTGTGTGAATACAGAATCTTCTCTACTTTGAATCAACTCCAATAAGGAAAGTTGAAGTTAAAACAATAGTCATATTTTCCTGGTAAAGAAATAGGACAGTGTTATGTTAAAGTCCTTCTTTCAGAATGAACATGATTCCACATAAACCAAGTCATCTTCAAACCAGACATCTATGAGAGTCTGAAAACCACAGTATATCCTGATCTGTAACACCCAGTCAGGAACCTGGGTAACTATTAGTTAATATATTAGACTGCAATTACAGACATTCTCAAAGACAGAAGAGAAAGAAGACATTTTAAAAGACCTACAGAGATAAGAATAGGAGGAAAGGGACACATGAACTCTCAATAAGGAGGAGGGAAGAGAAGGGCAAGTTAGCATGTCAGAGTCTGATTCTGCTCTGTGTTCAAAAAAGACAAGTAATATATTTCCTTCTGAGGACAATGGAAATAATGAGCTATAGTGGCTTCTTGTGAATAGATACAAGTATTACAGTAGGAATAGCCTCTACTCAGATGGGCAGCTTGAAATTTTTGTTGATACTTATAAATGCCAACACTACTGCTACTACTACTACTACTACTTTATCATTCTCTGGTTTAGGAACTGCTCTGTCAATTAAAAGTAAATTTTTGTGTGAAAAAATTTACTCCATTCACAGATCCTAGCATATATAAATTAAACAGCACAACTTCAGTATTTCTCATCCTTTTTCTTATTTACAAAATGTTCCACTTAGTATTTTTTCTAAACTTTTACTACCAGTAAAGATAAATATTTAGTAAACTAGAAAAGGAATTCTATAAATTCTCTCTATTTTCACTCACCTTTGTTATATATTGAGGTCATATGCTCCTTTAATGCCTGCTTTTTCAGTCATCTTACCATCTCCCTTCAGTGTGCCAAAACTATATTCTACATCATCACTCGCAGTATGACAGACTTTTCTTTCCATGTTTATACTGAACTCACTACAGCACAAAAATCTTACAGTACCACCAAAATACAAACAGGCAACAATTTAATATAGTAAAACCATGTACAAAGATGACTAAACCTAAGAGCATTGCAGAAAATTTCCACAAGCTAGAATTTGATATCATGTCAGTTTGAAACAAAACACATTTTTCAAAATACAAAAGGACAGAATTTTTGAGAAACCACATGATCTTAAAGCAAAATTTGTCATGGTGCAGAAGCTGGATGAAACAAACAAATAAGGACCTAAGTTCTACTCTACAGCTGTGGAGTTCCAGTATCAGCAACTGCCAAGTATATGGACCAATTCACACCAGGAAAATGAGAGTATCAAGACTCTATCCTTGAAAGGTACAAACACTTGCTCAAGACACAGTGATTTGGTCCCTAGTTTCAGACAAATGTCCTACAATCACAGGAAGCTTAGACTGCTTCTCACTAGATGGATGGTAGGAAATCAGTCAAAATCACAGCGGAAATTTGCTCTGCATGGTGGTTTACTATCTGCCAGCTGTGTTTCAGTGAACCATTTTGCACTTCAGTGAAAATGTACCAAAACAGATATGCTGTCATGAAATATTTCTAAGTTTCAATAGAATTTATTTCAATAATTAGTTTGGCTCATTCTATAACTGAACCAGAACTGAGGGAAAAGTTAAACAGAATTAGAACTGACTGAAATTTTTATTACTTCTAGAGACGACACAGCTCTTCTTACTTACCTACTCTTCCAACTAATGAATGGATACTAAAAATTATTTAATTATATCACGTGGCACGTGTTTGTCCTTTCAAGTTAATTTTCTGCTTGCTTACAGATGTTTCTGAAGTATCAACTCGTATCTTCTCAACTGTGGGATCAACAAGCACTGGTCATTTTCAAATGGATGGCCTTGTGTGAAGCATGCAGAACTGTAAAAAGCCCATACGATCTTTCTTTAAAATCTTTTCAAATACATGATCCTCCTTGGTATGTACGAAGCCCATCATAAATCATTTATGTGCATATGTCACTACACACTTAGTAAAATCCTTTCATTATATTCTGACCTTCATTTTTTTTATTATACTTACTCATTCCTCAAAGCTGTCATATCAGTAATTTCAAATCCCTCATTACAGTACCCACCTCAACCTCACCTCTGTTATTTGAGTGATTTATATATTATAGAAAACTTTCTCGTGAAATTATTTGCCTACAATTCAGAAAAATTATTACACCTACATTGTAGCCCTTTGTATCGAAATATGTAAGGTTTCCCTTTGTGGAGATGAGATTTCCCCATCTCATCTTAGGAGACTGGAAAGACACACTTGCCGGTATTTCTGATTTTCTGCTAGTGTGCCCTGTCAACAAACGCACATCAGATTCATTCACAGGTGTGTTGTGAATTCTGTCATAAATCAGTAAACCTTTATTTTATACTGGATGATAGTACTGGTGTTATCTACACATATGTGTCTTTTCAAGACATGATTTGCAGACAGAATCAGACTAGTTGGTCATTAAATCCTACATATCATTAATACATTATATGATCACCTTACAGCTCAAAGAACAAAAATAAGTATATTATTATTGAGCATAAAATTATTCACGTATTTAAATCTCGTAATAGCATTCAGATTAGAGTTCTTTGATAATATAGCCAAACTGGTTTTCACAGTATCTGCATGTGAGTGAAGAGGCTAAGAGAATGACGGCCTACAGTTCTAGACTGACCAAGAGCAACTAGAAGTACACAACACTGCAATCACAAATGGGACGTGGTGAGAATGCTGAACTGAAGCAGAGTGAATGATCTCTGATTTGATATGGAGGTGGTGAAGAGACCAACCTACTTTGCCTAAAAGTGTCTAACTGGGAAGCAAGAAGTCTGTTCTACAAACTATTTTGAAACTTCTGAATTTGTTCTTCTTCAAATACAGAATGTGGTTACCAAAACATTTCATTAAGTATATTTATACACACACACACAGAGCCATAGCTCCAAGCTTCTTCCTTGCCAGCCAACAGCAGTAGCTTCTGCTTAATTCTGGTTTTGCACGCACACCAAGTAAGTGGTCAGACCTCTTAGATATCAAGATTTCTTGTTTGTGTGTCTCAGGTATATATCAAGGCTTCTTATTTGTGTGTTTCAGGTGCAGCTGAGATCATAACAGGTAGGAGGAGGGACTGGGGGAATCTTTTCAGCAAAAAAGTTGAATGAATAAGGAAGTGATATTTCTGCAGGATTAACATGAACACTGCAGTCAACATCACTGTGAAGGAAAAAAAGATTTCCTAATTAAATAAATCAAATATCTTGATGTTTCAAAGATTCCTATGAAATTACAGTTCTCAGTTCTGAATAAACTCACGAGTTCAGGATCATTTGAACAAGACAGTCATAAGACAAAAACTTTGCAACAGACATATTACAGCTGATGGACTCCATTAAATTTTGGGCTTGTTTTGGCAGTTTTGGGGGGGCCTTTTTAGGTTCTTGGGAGTGGGGGTTTGTTCTTTTTAACACAAATCTGAGAGTAAATCTTCAGGTCTCAGCAGACAGAAAACATTCTGTTTCTCAGATGAGTCCCTACTAGCTCTTTGGAGAGCCTTTGGAAAAAAATGTACAATGACACACAAAAATGTCTTGAGGTACAAGTAGAAGACACAAAACAAATGGAATATGCTATGCACATCTGGACAGAGCAATAAATGGCTTCTAAACATGCTTGCTTTCTGCCGATCTGTGTAGTTGAAGAGGCACACGGTATCCACTGATTTTGCCATAAACCCAAAAAAAATGTCAAAAGAACATCAGTATTAATCTAGTTGGCAGAAAATAAGAAGCAGATACGACAAAAAGGCACGTGGCTGAAACCAGCCTCTGTGATGGCAACTAAAATACCATCCTCCAGCAGAGTACTTGATGGTGACAATGAAATCTCCCCTCAGCTTTTATTTCTTTCATCTCAAAAGTGAAAAACAAACACTGCTGGCTATGTTTTTGCTATTGCAGCCTAGTATGCAGCTCACCTTCAGCGCTGCATGAGCACACAGCCACAGACTGGTTCATATTCAAGTTCTTGCCCACCAGCACACCACATCTTTTTCTGCAAAGATACTTTCTAGTCATTTATTTCCCATTTTTTACTATTGTTCAGGGTTACTTCATCCAAGATGCAGGATTTTTAATTTGCCTGTGTTGAACTTCATGAGGTTCCTCTCAGCCCATTCCTCAGTCCTGTAACTCTGAATAGCAACCCTGCTACCTAGAATATCAACCACTTCCCATAATTTGGACTCACCTGCAAACCTAAAGAACATTCTATCTCATCATCCAGGACATTAAGAAATTCTTTTAAATGAAATTGGTCTCAGTACCAGTCCCTCAAACATGCCAGTAATGATAGATTTTCCAACTGTAATTTGCATTGCCAGTCACAGTTCCCTGAAGCTAACAGCTTGCGTCAACTTTCCACACATCTTGTTGTCCACTTATCCAGTCCATATTTTACCAATTGAGTTTTAAGGATACTATGGGAAACTGAGAAAGGTTTTGCTATAAAGTCAAGGTATTAAGCATCCACTGCTCTTTCTTTGGTTACAGGGCCAGTTTTTTCACCAAAGAGGACAACCATTTTGATCTGTTCAGACATTTATGATCTCATAAATCCATTCTTGCTGTTTCCAATCACATTTTCCTCCTTCTTGTGGTTAGTAACACCTTCCAGATAAATTTGCTCAACAACCTTCCCAGAGAACGAGGTTAGGCTGACCAGCTTATAGTCCCCAACATTTCCTTCTTGCCCTTCCTCAAAATCCATGTGATATTTGCATTTTTCTAGTTATCAGGAATCTCCTACAATCATTATGACATTTCACTGATGACCGAAAGGCCTTGCAATGACATTAGTCTCCTCTTTTAGCATGCTCAGAATTTATCCCATGCAGTGCCATGTATTTATATATGTCCAATTGCATTAATCACACCCTAATTCTACTCCTGTTATAGGCAAAGCTGCACTCCCACACACTGCTTCTAGACTTAGGGACTTGGGTAGCTTGAGAGCTACTGACCAACTGAAGAACATATATTAAGTGTCCATCAGTTCAAAGGGACAGATCCTTGAGCCCAGTCTTATTATGAATGTATAAAATATTTCCTTTTTTGACATGAGACCTGGTAGTTTAGAATGTCCAGCTTCCTCTTTGTCCCTCTCCTGGGTCAACCTAAGGACTCAACAAGCACGAAACTTATAGCAGGCACACAAATGAAGGGAGAGACATGATGTCATACCCCTATCTGGGATAAAGACTGAGAACTTCAGATCTTTAGGACAGGGCATGAATCTGAAGACCAAGCACAGGGAGGAAGGAAAGGAACACAGTATGATGACAGGAACAACTCACAATACCTTTGGCCACTGTTTCTAACAGTGGATCTCCATAAACTGCTGTTATCCAGCAAATATGTTAGATTAGACACAGATTATGAGTGACTATGAGCATTTATTTGAATATCTCTATTTACTCTTGAAAGTGAATTAAAATCCATGTGCTTCTTTTGAACTGACTTAAAAATTCATGTGCCCATTGAGAGGTACAGTGGAACTAATGATGAAATTTGAGCCTTTTTGAAGCAGGGGATGTATTTCCTGAAGAAACAAAGACAAATGCTTCATTTCCAGAAAAACTAATATTGAGAAAAGCTATACTGTGGGACACAGCTACCTGTAACAGGTATTTTTACTTGTTAGTTATTTATTCTCAATCAAAAAGGTTTCATAACCATACAAGACTGTTAATTACCCAAAATCACACTATCTCTATTGCATAAATTTATAATGATTAACTTTACCCAAATATGTTGTGCCATATTTTGACTTAATGAGGCAACTGGGCGATTTTCCTTAGGCTCCACTGAAGTCTAGATTTCCCCACCTTGTTTTTAGAGGAAAGAAAGCAAGCTTTCTACTGCCGTATACTATGTATCTGTTCACATCTGGCCCACCTAATCACAGTCACAGTTATTAAAAAGATTTGGCTATTACAAAAATTCAAAAAGCTACAGTCAACAGAAGAAAACATTTTGCAATTTATTTTGGAGAACAAATCTTATACACACAATTCTGTATGTGTGTTACTATATTTATTTACATATGCATATTGTAGATATATTTATTTGGGAAAAAAATGAACATTAAGAATCAAGCTTAAAAATTAAATATCTTCAATAGCTAGTACACAGGAAGCATTATATTTCGTTAAGGCTTGTTGTCTCTATTTTTACTACTTCTATTTTACAGGTGATTGACAATATTCTCTTCAGCCACTCTATTTCTAATTTGCCTTTTCTTTCAGTGTACATTTAGATTCCTCCAGCAACTCTCAGAGCAGTACATCTGTTCTGCTGACACTACTCCTATACCTTGAACAGTAGCTGTTCATAATTCATAGTTTTGCATTGTCTGCCCCCCTGAAAAAAATCTGTTATTAGGACCAATATCAACAGAACAGATTTTACACATGCAAAATGGTATTGCAAATGAAAACATCAAATCATAACTAGTATCCAAATATAAAATTGTGCATGACACCCAGAGATTAGTCTATTTTTTAAACCATCTATGTAGAATTCTATTCTCTCTATAGATGACTACATAGGATATTTTAAAATATTCAGAATTCAAGTGAGAGTAAGGCAAGAATCAAACTCTTCTAACACATATACAGCCATCTCAACTGCTCATAGTTTGCTTTCCATTTTAATCCTAATTCAATAGAAAAACATACTATGGGTTTGAAATTATGCACAAATTATTAATGTAGTGAAGCTTTCTTACATGACTTGGACTCCGGTGATGGTGGAGAAATGTTGGACACAGCAAGGTCACTCTTCGACTTTTTGGGCTTTTTTGCATTTACCTGCCAAGGCTTATCATAACTTCTAAAATCTCTTCTTGTTCCTTTATTTTCTGTTAAAATAATCAAATCAGATAGTTATAAAATTTGTAGGGTCATTTTCCCAAGACTTAATAAACAATTAACCCCCCCAAAAAAGGCCTATCAGTTGAAACCAAAGAGAGTTCTTTTTCTTCTTCTTTTTCTGATTTCTGTTAAATTTAATATATTTATTCCACTTCCTAAATATCAAAATTTAGAAATTAATTAATAGGATTTTCATGAAAAAGAAGTCTATTTTTTGTTATGAAGAAGTCCTTAATGTCCATTTATTTTCTTAAGTTTTACCACCTATGCTTAAAATTGTATATTTGATATAAATAAAAAGTTGATTTGTCAGTCAACTAACATTTTGACTATCAGCCAGCAACTATTTAAGCTCTACTATAGTCTGAAACAGTCAATTTTTAAACACAAAACTAACACTGTAATAGTAGCTTTTACCAGAATATCAAAGCTAAGATTTCTACTTCACAATCAAAGCAGATATTATTTAAGAATATTTTTTAAATGCTTCTGAAGATCTGCAATTCAAAATTACACTGGAATTCATAAAGTAGCATAGCATCTTCTCATTAAGGGTTGGAATGATAGGTCATTAAAACTGTATTGCTAAAGAAAATACCCCAATAGAGGTTAATCTCTGGCACAAATACACCACAGGAGGGAAAAGGAAAACAAAGAAAAGAGAAAGTGAAAGCAAAGAGGACAGCAAAAAACACAAGGAACTTTTATATGCACATACTTTCTCACTGAGAACTGGACTGTTTCCACTCTGTAACTATGATCCATACTCACATCATATGTACACAGGCTGAGGTGATAGCCAGTAATGTGTATTAAGTTCAGTATCTACTGGACAAACCAGATTTATTCTGCATGTTCAAAACCATAGAGTAGTACATGTTCGGTAAGTATATGTTCACCCAGGAAATCATGGACAAAAGTGTGGGAAAATTATACAGGTGTGGTGGGGGAAAAAACAGTTTTCCCCCTAGAGTTATAAAATGGTAACCCCCCAGGGGGTGGTGACCTTTGGGGTCGAGCCAATGAGTGCTTCTGCAAAATATAAACATATCACCCAGACCGGAAAAGAAGGTAGTTGTGGTTGTTGCTGGAAGAGGTGGCCATGTTCTGAGGCCACGAGGAGAAGGTGCAGGAGCGGGGGGGCTACAGGGACTTGGAACAGTGTTAGACTGGGCTAAGTATCTGTAGTTGAGAAGCTGGGAGTTTTTTCCTCCACCATGAGCAGCAGACGGAGCAGCGGCAGAACAGCACTGACCGGAGGACAGTGGCAAAGAGCCAGAAGTAGATAAGAACTAAAGGAGCGTCAAAACAAACATGCAGCCGAGCAGGAAGACACAGAGTTGTCTGAAAGAGAAAGAGAGCTGGTACAGAGCAGAACTAATCTCTATGGACAGAGTTGGGGTAAGAACTGAACACCAAAACCCCCAAAACTCCTTGGAGACCCCTCCTAGAGAGGAGGGGTGGTGGACTCCCACTTGAAGAGGAGTCTTGAAATGCAGCATGCACTGCAGAGAGAGGAGCTGAGAAGCTCAGGCATCCTGGAAAGCTGGACTGGGATGGCCAAAATGGAATGCGGAGGAGGGCTTCACCCCCCCCCACACTGTTGCTGCTAAGTTAGCAGCCTGAGATCAGAGCATGGGAGCTCTGCAAGGGAGTTTGAATCCCCTGAGGATAGGGACCATCGCGAAGATTCCTGCACTTCGTGATATGATGTGGTGAAGTGACCTTTGTCCCGGTGAACACAGCCCACGGAAGAGAAAGACCCCCGTTTGGATTTGAAGGGCTGAGAGGGACTTGGAGACCCCCCCCTCGTGTGTACTGGCAGAGATCCAGCTACAGCAGCTGCATGGAAGGAGACTGCTGCCCTAGAGAGACTGCTGCTCTGAGAGTGGAAAGGATCTCCTCCTTCTTCCCTCCTGGACTTTTATTTGGAGGGAGAAGAGATTTGATCCATTGTAAATACTGCTTTATCATAGAGAAGATAGTTATGATTGTATATGATGTATTATAATATCTATTTGTACAGTGTTTGTAATATAATCCCTTCCCCCCACTTTGAGTCTCATGTTTTTGTCTGGAAAACCCATCTCACGCTGGGCTGAGATGTGGGAGGGAGGGCTTGGACTCGAGAATTGGATTTTGGGGCTCTCAAACCATTACAACAGGAGACTAGCTCCTTCCAGCACACAGAACATACCTGATGTTTCACTCTCTGCCCAAAGGGCAGCAGAGCCAGACAACGTTCTCTGAAGCTGATGGCGGTTCCCCTGTTTGGACTGAAGATGATCAATTAGAAATGGGATTGGCTGGTCAGGTGTCTCTGTTATCAGTTTGGTCATCAACTCCTTTAGAAAATTAAAACAAAACAAAAAATTAGTGAGACATTGCACCTAAACTAATCTTGTATTTACCAAAAGAAAATGAGCATTTATGAAGGAAAACTCTTTTCAACTTTGAAGAAAACAGCTGGAAACATCCACCTCCTCAAACTACTGCTAGTTTTGCCCCATGAAAGGCTCATACCTGGACTGTTATTAGCCTATACAGTCTCTTATCCACTGGAATTTTGGTAAAAAAAAAATCTAGTCCCTGCTACCTGCTCAAATTTATCCCAAACAATCTGAATACTGTTCATTTAATGATGCACAACAAGCACCTCTTCAGAGCAGCAAGTAGCTCTTGCCTAACCCATACATCCAAGTTTCTTCTCCTTGGAAATTGGTGTAACAGGAAGGTTCATGTATTTTTCATTTCACACAGACATGAAACAATTATCTGGTTAGAATATGGATTCATATCTGGGAACCCCAAGGTCTGATCAAATAGGCAAATATTTTTTAAAGCAAGTCCTCAAAAATACAATTGTATAGACACGAGGGAATATTTTATTTCACTGTTGCAGACATAGATACAAAACCACTGTCAATGGGAAAGCATTTTCTATGCCATGCATTGATACCATCCAACTGCTGTTTTACACCTTGGCCTTGCAGGGCTGCAGAAAGAGAAGCACTCTCCATACTGCTGCTGGGGTTCTTCCTGGCTTCCTATACATAAAACACATTAGGAGTCCAGAAAGAAGCTGTGGCTCTGTCCTGCACATATGCTCTGAGAAGAAATGAGTTATTCATGTAGCAGGTGAGGTGACCCCAAAACTCACACAGTTCTACAGGAAATTTGTGACTGTCACTGAAAAACAAAAAAGCTGCACAGAAGTAAAAAATTACAGGAATGTACCACAAAATCAGAAAGAAAACAAAACCAAACAAACCCACAAACCACCACCACCACCAACAAAAAAACCTAGCTAAGTTATTCAGAGCATTTATTCTCTTCACCTACCCCCAAGCATAAATCTTAGCCTAACTATACACACTTAAGTCTATCCTAACTTCATCTTTTCCACACACTTTCATTTAATAAATAATTTTTCAAATACCAGCAGTTACTTAGTATTACCATCAGTTAAGTGTGTTGGGAAAAGATACTTTAAAAGAAGTATTCCAAATAGCAGTAAACATAAATAACAGCAGGCAGGATTACTAAGGCACAGCAAGTTATCTTTGTCCACTCTAAGACTTCCAATTCTTTTTATACAAGTAGTGGCATAAACAATTATGTATAAGTGAAAACAAAGCAGAAAATAGCTTTCAATTTCAGAAAGAGAAATTTAATTTCAGAAAACAAAAAGGAGAAAATATGCCCAATCTCATGTCTTGTGAAGATGTGATCTTCTGTGATGTGATTTTTGATATCTATCTACAGGGAACAAAAACCCCCCAGGTGTCTTTGGTTTTGAAATGGAATTCCACAAGGGGAAATTAAGCTACTTACTAATCTTAGAATTTTTAAAACTATGGAGAGTAACTTCATCCAGACTGTCTCTCACCAAGATAGGAGAAACCCTCTCATACACATCATACAAGAAAAATCCAGAAATCAGAGTAATTCATATTTTGGTTACTTGGCAACACTAACAGTAAACCTTTCTTTCCTTCCCTGCCAAACAGAACTAGTGACTATGGAAAGAACTAGTGACAATTGAAAGATGTAATCTAGTCCTTGTAATGGAGCACCACAGATGCAGGAATTCCACTGAGGATCCTATTACCAATGGAAAAGTGCCAATCTGTAATAGCTGACTTGTAATTTAAATAATTTCTCAGAATCATGGTTTGAAAATTATTTTTCTATCTTAAATTAATAAAAACAAGATTATGAGAACTGAGATACATGCACTGATTCTATTAAATTTTTAAAGACATGCATAGGTGACAACTTACTAATAATACATTACAAAACTAATGTAGCACTAAAAAAGTTAGGACACAAAAATAAAAATTTTAGAATGCCTACGTGTCAACGTAAGACAAAGGCTACCTGGTTGTTGTCTTTGTAACTGACTTGGTTGTAACAGGAAGGAATGGTCCTCAATTAACAGAAAGAGATCTAATAAATTAAAACTGCTTACAGGATTCTTTACCTCATTCTGAGACCTAGCAATAAAAATAAAGAACATAATCGTACAAAGTAGCAAAAAAAAAAGTTCTATTTGAGGTGATGTGAAAATTGGATCCTATACAAAAGGACCACTTTTTTTGTCTACTGTAAACATATTGATAAGACCTGAGTGATATAACGATCTGCACTGTCCGAGAGAATAAACAGTCCTTTTCTGTGATAGCAGTTAGAAAAGTTTAAAGAACTGTAGATATAGGCTACTTTTACCTATCTGGAGTAACAAATGTGTTGTACCAATCCTTTACATCTAAAGTAAAAAAAAAAAAAAAAAAAAAAAGGAAGTAACACTGCTGGAATCCTCATAAACTGAGAAGAGTATGCAGTTCAAAGAAATACTACTTCTTCTGTGTAATAAGCCTCAAACTGATTTGCCTCAAGCACTTTTACAGCTGTCATTAAAAGTAAATGCAACTTAAAATGAACCCAAATGTGACTCAGATTACAAAGCCTGCCATTAAAGAAAGACAAAGCTCTTTACTGCAAGTATTCCATTGCAAAAGGGGAGAAAAGAAGCTCTTAGGGATCTGCTTCTCAAGATGCTCCAAGCAAGGTTTGAAAGTGGTCTCCAACTTACCACTTTCCATGGAGTTCCTGAACTCTGGAGAATGTGCAAAGAACAAATAACAAAAGCAGTGAGGGTAGCGTCAGAATAGCTGTGTAAATCCACATTCGCATACAGGAGGTGTCATCTCTCTTCCATATCCTTCTCCCACACACACAGTGAGAGATCCCAGAAGTAGGATCATAACTCCATGACCCTCACTACTTTGCCCTTCTACCAATTTCTGCCACCCAGTTCACCAAGGGACCTAACTCCACCTGCACAGTCCCCAACATGTGCTCTTCAAGTTCATGCTTCCTTTGAGACTTTTGTAATCCCCATTAAATTGGCAATTACATGGAAATATGTTATCTGACTGTTGCTTGGCTATGCCATGAGGAGGAGGGGTGGGAGGGCCAAGAGAAACAAAAATAAAACCAAAACACACACAACCAAAAAAAAAAAAAAAGCTTCAGAGAGGCAGTAACTGTACTTAGTGAGCACTCAGCTCATTTTCAAGTAAAAATATATACTTCACTGAAGGTGAAAAGACATTACAGATTATAAACGTCTATTAAGGGGTATTCTCATTTTATCACCACTCACTAGTAAAACTAATTTAAACTTCTGATTAAATTACCCAAAGTTTATTTGATGATCTCATCTGTTGCTTGGATGACATCTTAATAGACAGCAGGAATAACATACTACATGGTACTCTAAATATACTCTTACACATTTGAAATGTTTCAAAAAAAGATGACAAAAGTGAATGTATTAAATAAGAAAAACTAAAGTATACAAGGTACAAAAATAAAATTCCTTTTTGGTTAGCAGCAGTCTGATCTGACTCACAATGTGCTAAGTAGGCAAGGTTTCACAAGAAAAAGAAAAGGGAAAAGACCAACTATTCTCAGTGAAGACGCCTCTGCATTAAGAGCAGAATGAAAACGGCACAAGATCATTGAAACTGAAATTCATTTCTTGATGAAAAAATCATCAGATAAGTTTCAATTATGCATGAAAACAGAAATGCAAGAGACGCTTATATATCTCTTAGAAACATTAATTATACTTTTTGCATTTCTGGCTGAAATGTCTGCATTTTCTACAATTCAAATAAGAAAACTATGTTCTTCTGTGCACAGTGTGCCTTATAACAATAAATAAAAAGCCGGGGCAGATTGGGTGCCCATGCTGCCAAATGAACTGTTCACTACCCATAATCTCTCTCCTCCTATCTTCTTTCCACTGCTATGTCTTCCTTTCACTCCATGTCCTTTTGTCTTTTCTATCAATAGGACTCCTCTCAGCCTCTTCCTTCCAACTGTTAACAAGTGAAGAAGCCTGTTCAGATGTCAGTAATTATGAAATCCCTGTGCACCCACGAGACACACTGGAGCACAGAAAAGGAGTGAAAGGGAACTTCCATGGTTACTACAGACTAGGGTGAATACATTAGTTTCTGCTGCTTCCCCATCATATTGCTCCAAATTTGGTTCTGCCTTGAATGAGGGCAGAATGAGAAAGAATGGCAAGATGATGTAAGCTCTGTCAGTTAACTCCTTCAAGAATTTAACCTTGCATTGTGCAAATCATTTCTACTTTCTTCTGTAATGGTAACTTCATATGTTCTTACATTTAGTTTTACTAAACTATGTTACATAGACTGTATTAAAAAAACCCAAAACAAAAACTTGTACAAGTCAATTTGTGGATGTTTCCAAGAAATTCATGCACACACATTGATGAGGCTGCAAAGGATCTTGGAAAAAAAAACAAAACAGGTCTAAAGTAGCAGCTTAATATATTAATTCTTTATAAAGAGAATAATCTTTTGTTATTGCGCTGTCTTGAGGTCCTCTATTAGTTATTCAATGAAGGCTCAAATTTTAATTTCCTTGTGACTGTCCATGCATTTAATACAAATAAAACAGTCTTCACAGTCTATTAATCATGGGCCCAATTACAAAGAAGTCCTAATTAGCTATGTCTAAACGTACCTATCAGGTTATTAAGTTAATTAAGAGACATTCTATCTTGCCCTGTAATTGGTAACAGTAACTACACAACAATCATGCGTTTTAACTGCAGAGACTTCTACAGACTATGGCACAGCATGCACAGATTTTGGCTCTATTATGCTCTTTTGTCATGCTTTAAATTAGACGTTTAAAGTAGGTAGAGTGAATTGCCCTCAGAAGATGTCTGTCTCTCTCTCCTGACCTAACAGACTAGGTGGCTGAGGTTTAGATGGTATGCATTTCCAAATTAAGTCAATTA